TTTTCCTGCCTAAACCTTGCCAGCTATTAGCTTTCGATTAGACTCAAAGTAAAATTTATAGTTTTCCAGACAACGACAGGACACTATAAGATCTCTACCATACCACCCCCTTTATCCCTCTATTTGTTTTCTCTAGTCTCCTGCTACTTGCCCACTAACTCACTCCAATTCCACTATCATGTTTTGGCGCACACCAGTCTCAGATTCTTCAAACTTGCCATACTCTCCAAATATCTAAATGGTTTGCTCTTTTCATGCCTCTCCTCAAATGTCACTTTCTTAAAGAGTCCTTTCTTTATCATTCTATATAAATGACCCATGAGGCTAACACTTCCAAAAGCTTTAAATAGGCTTTAATACCATAAGACATGTTATGACTAAGGATTTTCTTACTTTGTTTATGATTTGTCTCATTTCCACTCAAAAAAAAAAAATATCTCTATGAGGCAGAGATGTCATCTGTTTTGTTCAGTGATATGTCTATATACTGGAATAGTGCCTAGCATATAGTAAGCATTCAATACTCTTTGACTGAACATCAACCGTATACCTAATACAGGAATCAATATAAGTGAAGGGTAAAATACTTTCTGAGATAGCACTGGGTTCATGCAGTCTTGAATTCTGCTTGAAATATTTCCACAGTTATCTATATTTATAAAGTTACCTATATTAGGAAATTATCTATATTTGTAAAAGAAGTAATAATAGAAAAAAAAGATAACATCTAATGGTACTTGGTTGTTAATTGCAGTTTGTTTTGTCTTGAGTTGTTCTTTGGAAGACCAAATCAGAAGCCAGGTCAAAGATTACATCACCTATATTCATGAATACTAATTGAACAGTTTGACCTAAAAACTTCCCCTTCATCTGACAAAATGTACAAGATTAATTGAACACATTTTATGAGAGATTTGCTAACCAGATACCACTTTCCACAATGATTTGCACATTTTATATCTCCCCGGACATAGTATTGAAGCAATATACTAGGGTATATAAGCAAAAGTGTAATTTTAGTTGCCATAAGTCCCTTTATATCTCATTTTCTTCAGACCTGAATGAGTCCATTCTGGCTAGCTGATGGTTTTTTATTACTTGAACTGTTAGAAAAAAGTTGAGTAGGTTTCAGTGTAGAGATATTAAAGGAACGAAATAGCTAAAACTTAGCTCCAAAGAGGAAAAGTAAAAAAATTTACTTCATTTGGTTTTAGAAAAAAAAAAAATAAATAAAAGGTAACTTGATAATTTTCCTCAAGTATATAAAAGTTTATTTTTTAAAAAAAGTGACCACCTGTTTTTAATCACACCTGAAGAAAGATTAAAAAAAAGTTGGTATAAACTACAGTGAGAGGAATTCAGTTTTCAAAAAAGGAAACAAGAACAGTTTTCACATACCTAGTATTAGAGTCTAAGAACTAGAATTTCATTCTTTGGAGATATTTAAAGGTAGGATTGTTTGTATTATTTTTGGAAGGCAGGACCACATGACCAGCCACAATTCCTACTGTTTCTCAACTTATAATGTCCATATTTATAATAGCAAGTAGCTGGAAAGCCTTTTTTTTTTTTTTTTTGGAAAACCATATACACTTCGAGTAGATTTCTAAGTATGGATTTGAGGGATTTTTTTTTTTAGTGCGATGTAATTATCCTCAGAAATAGAATATTAGAACTAAAATCTGGAAGATGAATCTCATAATTATTAATTAAAACCATTAATCTAAACAGTCATCCCTTTTAATAATGTTATAAGGAATTAATTTTGCTGTTTTCCATGTCTCATTTGTTTGCTTTTCTATTTCTAGTAATGTTAATTTATGGTAGTAAAGCTTCTATTTGTTTCAATAATAATGCTTTAGGGAAAATGCTATTGTCAATCAAAACAATCATGAAGACTAATTCAAGTATGTTAAATAAGAAATCAAAAATGCAAATCGAATACTGGGATAAATTGTTTCTTTTGATAATTATATTTTGTTTATACAACATTCACTTTTTAAAAATGTTACTATATAATTTCTTTTTTTCCTTTTAAGGATGCATAGCTTTTTTCCACATAGGCTAGTTATCTTTATTGGAACTCTCTCTCTTTTTTTTTTTTTTTTTTGCTTCTCTAAGTCCTGTAGAAAACTAAATTTAACACACAGTAAACCAGTGAAGGAGCTTAAGCCTTGCTGTGTGCATAGATTTAAACAAGGGGATCATTATGAGTGGTATAACAGAGGAGCATGTTGGAAGAACAGGAAGTTGGTTTTGGTCATTGTATCCCCTGCCTAAAAGAGTCAAGGAACAACAACTTTGGTTTTACTCTAAGATAATCAGTTAATGTATTTTCACCTGAATCAGGTAAATTCTAGTGCCAAGAGAAAAGCCGCTAGGGAGAATTTTATCCTATAAAACTATAGTTAATAATATTGAACTAAATGTGTATAGTGTCAGGTGGGTACTAGGCTAATCGAGATCATTTCATAAATTATATTAATGTTTAAGCACTGTACTATATACCTGAAACTAATATGTGCTTAAAAAAAAAAAACTGTCACTCTGCTGGTATCACGGTGGTCTGAGGGAATTTATCCCACATCTATCTTATTTAAGCCACTCATGTCTCTCCCCATCCTACTCCAGAGATTTCTAAACCTAAGAATTTTAATGTTAGAATAACTAATGTAATGCCAATAATTAGAACAATTGGTGAATGGTTATGTTTATTGAAAACATATTTTATCTAAAAATTCTAAAATCTCTAAATTTTCAGTATCTGTACTTATTTAAGTTATTTAAACTTTCTAGATCTTAATTTTCTTAAATATAAATGGATAATGGGATAATATCTATAGAAATATTTGGTGATATATATGATGTTTTTCAAATAAAAATATTATTAACATGAACAATAAACATACTTATAGGGATCAGGGTTAACATGTGTGAAGCTATTTTAAGCTGGGATGGAATTCACACACCTTTATGGGTACAAACACACAGTACACATATAAATATCTAGGGAATAGCAGGAGTCAAATTTGCATATGTAATAATTCTAGCAAGCATGTTTCACTTTTATTGTGAATAGTGTTAGTTAATTGATGGTAGTCAAAATAATTACTCTGGAAAGCATTACTGACATTTTGATGATAAAAAAAGTGGTTTTAATATCTTGGAATCTGCCGTAGCTATAAAAAAGGAAATATTAAAATTTATGATATTACTTTTACTTTTAGTTTATTTCTACATAGTTCAAAAGAAAGTTGAAATTATGTAATTCTTGATTTAATATTACTTAAAACAAACATTATTTTCCCATATATGTGATATTGGCTAAATAATACAAAATATCTTTTTCATTCTGTCATGTACAGAATCAAATTTATAATATTTTGAATCAATTTACTAACTTTCTCTTTTATAAATCTAATGATATTGCTAGCAGTATTTTGATATATATCTAAATTTTCACTATACAAAATATTACAATTGTTTTTTTATAAAAATGAAAAATAGTATTATCTTATTAAAACTATCATTTTTTTTTGTATGGGAATTGATATAATTTTAATAAGGCCCTTTAGAGGCTTGATAATTCCTGAAATTCTAATTCAAAACTAATTGGAAAGATTTAATTTTGATGATATGTTTTTTCCTTCCATTTTTAATTATTAAAATAGTTGCAAAATAATAAAAATTATTAATTGTAGCTGAAGAATCCATCCTGAGTCTGCTCTTCTTTTTCATTATAAATTAGATTTTTTTGTTTGTTTAAAATAACTCCATACCTAAAGACTAAATGATTTCCTGATTCACTACAAATTCAAGTAAAAGATGCAGTAACAAACATAACAATCAAGAACATATTAGTGTAGTCATATAGTTTATAAAGTAATTTATATTTAATATAATAATAGAAAATATTTCTTCTTCATCTTTCTATTATTTTTTTATTTTTATTTTCAATTCCACAAATACTATAAACTTGAAAATATAACTATTATTAGAGCAATGATAAGTGCATCTGGAAAATTTAAAAGCAAGTGACTTGTCAAATCAGCAAATATTAGGTGACATAATTATAGTGTAAAGGAAAGAAGAAACCATACCAGTTTATGCAAGAACATGTTATAGGAATGAATTACCAATTTTTGGCCACTTTTTCTGCATTTAGTTTTATGTGTTTTAAATACAATAGAAAATGTATGACCGGTAATGTCTACGTGTTCAATGATTATTATAAACACATGGTTTATTGTATTTGTTTTCCAAAAGAAATACAAATACATTTTAGTTATATCCATTGACCTCTGACTACCTTAGAAAAATATAGACATTATCAAACATATTTGTAATATAATGTTTTTATGTAAATATGTAAATCTGAGACGTATTCTAGGACAGATTTTGGTTATTAGTCTACAGAAGGTATCCAAGAGACTCAGAATAAATCTAAAAAACTAGAAGATACTTCTGAAGAAGCCATACATGAGAAAAATCTACAATGATAGTGTTCCATATATGTTAGCTTTTATTTTATTACTATTTTTAAATGATATTTTTCCAATGTTCGAAAGTGTTCTGGAGACTATTGTTTCTATTGAGGCCAACCTCACACTCTATTTAATAATTTCACCATCACAACAGCTCTGTAAGGAAAAAGGGAGATTGTGTGTTATCCCTTTTTTCTGTGAGAAACTGAATCTCATCTTTAAATGCTTTTTTGGTAGTTACATTGCTAGTAAGAATTGAAGCCAGAAATTTTGACTTCTATATTACGGACGTGCTTCAGTATCAATACAGAGAAGAAACGTGTTAATTATGGACTTTGAGTTCTGGAATTTTGGCTGCTGTGACCATTTTTAATGAAGATAGCGTGATATCACAGAGTGTAATCTTTACGATTATAGCATCTCCACTATGTATTAGTCAACATTGATTCAAAGTATGACCATGTTAGCATTATGAATTGATGTATGCCAGCCTATGTAACTCCAGGTTTTCATCAGGATAGTGACATGCTGGACCGGCGGAAACACTGCTTCACTGTGCAGTCTGAGTCTGGGGAAGATCTCTACTTCTCTGTGGAGTTAGACTGTGACCTTGCCCAGTGGGAAAGAGCCTTCCAAACAGCAACTTTTCTGGAAGTGGAACGAATACAGGTGAGAGTTTGTGGAATTTTAGCATCTGACTACCACAAATGCATGACCACATTCTAGAGTTCTAATAAAAAATCAAATTAGCATAAAAATACAGCTCCACGAGTCTTGACCTCCTCAAATACATTTGATAATTAGCCACTGTGATTAAATGAATAGAAACACAGCTCTGAAAAACATTTTAATTTTTCTATAATTTGATCTCTCTAGGCTATTTCATACCATTCATCAAAATATATTATTTCTAATTTTAATTAGAATCTGCTCCACTTCAAATCTAAACTGAATATGCTCTGATTTTAATTAATTGGTTTCAAGCAATTTTCTGTTCTCCAATAATGATCACCTAACATTCAGCTGAATGGCTTCATTCACCCACAATGCTCCCTACCCTTCAAAACTATACAAAGAATTTAAAACTTTTTCATAGTTCACATCACCCTTTATGATTTTCCTGACTTCCAGTCTGCTTTGCACACCAATTACCACTACTTTTTCCACAACAATTCTGTTCAAACTTTCCCACTTTTGAACACTAATATTACTTTCTTGTGTTCATTTTCTTAAGTCTACTCATACTGTCTTGTATTGGAGTGATGTGTGCTTGACATTGCTCACATTAAGTTATAGTTTGCTTGGGATTATTTTAGTAATCTACAAACGGAAGTACAATTCAGTTTGTACATCACAAGTATTCAGAAGATATTTATTAAACTTTATTTCTTAAGTATGAAGTTATATCTATAAAGGGGGTCAAATATATGGGACTTGGGGAGGTTGAAGTGGGTAAAGGGGATCAAATATATGGTAACTGAAAGAAACAGGACTCTGGGTGGTAATCACACAATAGAATATATAGATGTCGAATTATAATGTACACTTGAAAATTATATAATTGTATTTACCAATGTTACCCCAATAAACTTAAAAAAAAAAAAGGAGTTATATCTAGATCAAAGGTTCATAGAACCTTCATCCTCTCCAATTCATGGTACCATGAAATGGAACAGGCTACCAAATATTGATTTGGCAGCAGATCTTTAGCAGAGACCTTTCACAAAGCTGAACAGTTACGCATTTGCTATACACAAATGTATTCATAGAGCCAGGACCTAAACATGGCATTGATTTTAAAAAATTATGTGACAATGCTGATTGACTACTGTTCTGGAATCCTTATCTACAATAGGAGATTGGGTATGTATTTTTTCTATATGTCGAACTAATTTGTAACATAGATTATTTTTTTCTGACTAAAAACTATATTCAACACATCAAGTTGCACCAGTATGACATGACAATCCAGGGACAAGGACAGTAAAAAGATTCACATTTCATTTGTTTTATTGCTCAATGAACATTTTCTAATAGCTCTGCTGATCTGCATATATCTAAATATGTTAAAATAACTGAGAAATACTGTTTCAAAAGTTTAACTGTATAGAAGCTCATTTCAATAAATAGATACTTTAATATAAAAAATGAAATGATAAAAACTATTTAAATATGATTTTATTTCAAACGTCAACATATAAGATGATTTACAACATTAAAATATGTTAGTTTAATAGCTGTCATTTTTAAAATCTAAATTGATATTTTTAGGTTTTTGTAATTATCATTTTCTTAGAATACCACACTTCAGTTGGAAGCAACTACATGGTGACTTTTACCTGATAGTCTCAATTTAGCATTTCATTTTAAGTCTCCTAATGTTTATAAATGAGGTAGAGATAAAATTATGTTGTTTCACTGTATTTTAATACTGTCTTATTTAATATGGGCTTCGTCTTCTCTAAGCTGATTTCCTGAACAATACATTTATTTGAACCATCAACTTACCTATTCACAATACCAATGTAAGATGCATATAGTAAGTGAAAAGGATAATATTTAATGCCTTTTTAGCTTTTGGTTTTATTATAGACTTCCTAATTTCCTAGTCATAAATTTTCTATAAAAATATAAAGCTATTTTTATTTGATTACTTTATCAGAAATCAAATGTCAATGACTAAAGACTTTCACAGTGTTATTTTCAAAATTCAAGAATGTAAGTACATTTACATGAAGAACCTTATGTTTCTATGTTCTCAATATTCCCACTATCATTAAAGTTGATAAAGAAATAAAATAAAAAGAAAATATATGGCCTTTTGTGAAATGAGCAGAAATGCAGAAAATTAATGAATTGAATAATCCAATTATGAATTAGTAAATAAAATTAATTTTATTTTGAATTTGATTTTCATTAATATGACTGCACACTAACATTTTAGTTTCTAATATATCTCTATCTATTTACATATTGTTTGATATCTAATGTACTTAATATTGATATAAATATCTACATATATTTTCAAAAGTAATCCAGTTAAATCAGGCATTTCTAAATATTCTACATTGCATTTAGATTAATACCTTAAAATTTAGAAAATGTAGTGAATATTGAAACAGGAAATAAAAATTGATATGGATAAAATCTTACAACATTTCAAAGTACCAGTATTCAAACTTAGTATACCTAGTATTCAAAGTACCAATATTAAACCTAATTCACTTACAGTATTATTAGTATCTTTGCTCATCCTATTTCTGAACAATTTTCCCAGAGTAAATGAATAATACTAGTAAGAAGCAGATACATTTTCTGACCTTACACTAATTATATTTGATAAAAAAGTAGTTCTTTTAAAAAATGATTTTTAATGAAAAAGTGCATTACTTTTAAAAATGTATTTTCTATATTATTATTTCAAACTCTTTCATATGCATTTTATCAAGCTATAGACATTTAACTATCATCTAAGAGGGCATATTAACATGTATTTTATATGTAATATATCTTTAAATGTGTTATATATAAATGTGCAAAAATCTGTCAAAGTGTTTCTAGTTTGAACTTCTCTAACAACAGTAAGATTTTACTTTTTGTCTAACTCTAATTTATTTTTTTATTATAAAATGAAAATACAAAATAAACAATATATCAAATATTTCAATATAAAAGATATATAATCATTGTATATGATTAAGATTAGATATTATAGAATTAAACTTCGATATATCTCAATTTAAAGCATATCTATCTGTTTCAATTTAATGATTATCAAGACCATGTAATTTAATTTGTAATTCTGAACTTAAAAAATAAATTTTAACATAATATTTAACATTTGCAACTGACATACTTTTTTAAATGATAGTACTTGAAAGTAGCAAATAACTATGTCTAAATTGGAGGATATGAGATCGCCTTGAACATTCTCTAATGTTGAGAATAGTTTTGACTAAATAGTAATGGGTAGATGCAAACATGGAAGACGCCTATGTATTAAATAAAATTCCACCCTAAAATTAACTTATAAATCCTATTAAGTTTGTTTGCTAACCTGCTTTAAAAAAAACAAAACAAAACAAAACTCAATTCCAAATGAATAATTTGGCATGGTTATAACTTTCTTATGTAAATTGGGTTTAAATATATGAATATAAAATATAGCTTTTTGATAAAGGCAACTTAATGCATCTATCCATAATTATAGCGAGAATGTGATTCATTTACTGTACTTTTATATATAGTATTACAAAAACAAATACGACATAAGGATTAGTATTGAAAATTTGCTTAAGATAGATTTCTCTCTTCCTCTTCCTCTTTCTCTTTCTCTTTGTGTGTTAATTAAAAGCATTTTTCTTTATTTGAATATCTCACTACAGTTTGCAACTAAATGCAAATAAAACTAGCCTATGGACATAAAAATACATCATATTTCATATAAGCTCATGTTTTTATCTTATATCTGTTATTCTTATATTTCAGTATCTAAATTTTATTAGTCATTCCAAAAATTTTATATAAGTAACGTTATAAATTAATTTGTCTTAATGTGAAAAGTCATTTAATAGTTGATTTCTGAAGAATCAATAAGTTTATACAAATAATAGGCAAGTGGTAAGTGTCTTTGGGAAATAGCTTGTTCCACATGGATAAACATATAGAACTCTTAAGGTTAAGATGTTTCTTGTATTTTTTGCCTTGGTTTGAGAATCTGTGTTTGTGTGCCTGAGAGTTCTCTTTTAATAATATTCATGAACTCATATGCCAAGAATTTAAGTAATACCTTAATCTTTAATAATTCACTTTTGATTTAATGAAAATGAAGTGATATTTAACTAGAAGACCTAGCAATTGAACAAAATCTTATCTACATATAAATTTTTTAATACAGATTTTATTTCCTATATAGCAAGGGAGCCAGTGTGGCACAAGATAAAGATAAGGGCTGACTGAGCAGGATTGGAAGCTTGACACTGCATTTATCTTGGCAGGTCAAAAATCACTTGGCTTCTGTTTTATTAACATTAGGATGTTGATAATATTATCTTCCTTATACAGTTACTATAATATTAAGTTAGCTATTATATAAAGAACTTATTATAGGAGCTTTCACAGTGTCTTTGATAAATGTTGGCTATTGGGTCAATTACATGAAAAGTAACAGTGTTTTCTGTTCTGTTTAGTGCAAGACATATGCATGTGTGCTAGAAAGTCATCTAATGGGACTCACAATTGACTTTAGCGCAGGATTTATCTGCTTTGATGCCGCGACAAAGGTAATGTGTTCAGGTCAGCTCTGAGAAATGTGCTGCAGTCATTCTAATTTAAGAATAATTGAAATAACCTTGAATGCCCATCAACATTTTAATTGGTTATCATATGTCAAATTTAAGGTTCTCATTTTCGTTAACAAAATTTAAATTATGATTTAATCTGTTTATAGAAAAACAAAAGTTTAAAATTTTAATAAAACAAATGTGTTGCCACAAAACACTATAATTATTTAAAGTGTATATATGCTCTTTATATTATACTATAGATATATTCTTTTTTACTAAAGCTATGACCTCATATTTTCATATAGAGGGAAAATTTTCCTCCTCCCAAAATATGTTTTTAAATAAAATGATGCTTTACTATTTTTTGGTATCAACATCTCCAATATCAAAATGTGGAAAACATATTTTGAGTTTTATAGGTAACTTGTTAGAATTATATAATGGAGGAATTTGGGGGTTTGACTTTTCTAGCCAGGAAGTATAATTCGTATAAACACGTAACCTAATAGGGTCTTATACTGTCTGATTGAATGCCCTTTCCACAAAGATTATGTCTCTAGGACTGATGTATATTTAATAATGAAGGACACTTTCTCAGGCAGTCATACCTGCAGAATAGCTCAACTGACCCACTACTCATCGCTAATCTTCCAGTACTGTAGTCACTACTGAAGTTTCTGACTTGCAACTGGTCCCCATGGAAGACATTCTTTTCTTTTCTATAAGGATATCAATTTCTTAGATCCATCCCACTTTCTCCTTTATCAAAGCATGGAAAAGAAATAAACTGATATATTCCTTCTCATTAATTTTAAGTATTAATGAATAACTCTTTACTGGGAAACATATTTTACCCAGAAATTAAGCCTTGTATAGAATTTTAGAAACAAATGCTTATAAAACAAAAAAGCAATATAACTATGTGAGAAAGGCAGAGTGTACAGATATTGGGAGTTTTTTGATCTTGGGAAAAAATAGGAGTCTAATGATGCAGTCCAGCTGGTCACAGCCAAGTAGATGCGGGTTGGTGTTTAGAGAACTTAAGATCAAAATTGTCATACAAAATCTCACATTAGTTAAGGATGATCAATATTTCTTTTTATATTGTCATTGTAAAATTAAATAGCATGCATATGTTGGTCAGATTTAACAGTCCAGTGCATTGTCTTTGAGTAACGCCAAAAGAATACTTTTCTAAATATGGAATTTCAGCTGGCAGCAGCTCTTTTGATGACTCTCAAGTGAGCCTGCCATATATTTTCCCTCTGACTAAAGTCTTTCTTTTGAAAAAATAAATACTTATTTAAATCAGGATAGGCTCATGAGTATTAAATCAATTAAATAAATATACTAATTTAGATATTAATTAATTAATTTCATAAGTAACTGATTAGAAAAAAAGTTAGTCTGATTTTTAAAAAAAGACATATTATTGCCAGAGTTGTTATCAAACTCTATTACATGAAGGTAAAAGAATCTCATAGTAGTAGATGAGAAGGAAACAAATAAAATTAATATGAACACATTTCTGAGTTCCTGAATATGTCCTGAGTTTCTTTTTAAGGCCAGCATAATTCAAAACTGTTGTCAGAGTTCTGTTTTGGCTCTCAGTGTGTAAGAGAGAAAATCATGATGTGGATGGCCTACACAACATGCCCATCTATGTCCTCCTCTCTGGGAACACTGGGAAGGAGGGATTAGTCAGCAGAATCCAAGCAATTGTTATGATACAATCTAGGAATAGCCATTAAGTAGGAAATAGATTCCAGTCAGTACAAGCTTGACATGCAGGAAAAATCGAAGGTCTTCAGAAGTAATAATCACTATCCTTCCATTTTCTGACTGTTATTGGAAGTATCTAACTTTAAGGCAATCTGATAATTGGGAGAGATAGAAAAGAGTCTATATGCATTATAATAAATATACTATTCATCACTGAAGTAGTGACAATTGAAGTGTGAATGGGAGAGCTAAAAATAATATCTTCAGGATGACAGGCATTAACCAAGAGTCCTGGGCAAAACAAGGAGCTGATCTTACTGCAAGAAAATTGCCTCACTCCATGGAATGAGCTCAGAAGAAGTTATTTTTAAATACAAAAATCCAAAAGAGATAATGGTTACATAAAAATTAAAGCATGTTTTGTTCTAATTTTATCTACTTGATACACATGTGGACAGAATCCTTAAGATGTATCCAGCACTTTTTAAATGTTGGTGTTCTAGAGGGCATGACAGCATACTACTCATACCCTAGAGCATATAGAAATCAAATTAGTAAATGTGAAGAATAGTACTGCCTCAAAATAAACATATGCAGAAATGTATGCATTAATTTAGCAGTTTTTAAATAAAGTATTTAATTTCTGTCACTGGAGCAGCCTGTGGACAACCTGGAGGAGAATGAAATAGTAATGGCTTATTACATTGCACAGATATATCAACTTAGATGTGACTACCAGTGAACTCATTTTTTTTTTCCCCTCTGGAGCTGTTACTATCCATTGAGCTAGCGACTGTGTATATATCTGTTAAAAAGAAATAACTAGAAAAGAGTTTATTAATATAGAGAATTGATAATATAAATCATAAGAGTGGCTGAATTTTATAAACAAAACAAAAACAAAACAATAAATGTCTGATAAATGTATATATTTTTCTTGCCAGTATTTATTATGCAGACAACATACAAAGTTTCTCAAAATAAATTTAGTATGTTAAGAATAATAAATATCATACCATATCTAATAGTATGTGGAAATGTTAGTGCTTACTTTCCCACAACTATTTTGGTTATTCTTTTGAAAAATTTTACATAGATATGATTAAAATAAGTACTCTGTGTACATCAACCCACCAGATTGATGATTTTAATCTATTACAAAATAATCCACAAGGTCTAACTTTTAGAAACATTTATTCTGCTTTTATTTTTTATATATTCTAAATAAATTTTTAGAGTGAAAATCTGTATACTCCTCTTTGAATATTCTATATATTTGATGTATATGTAAATATATGTAAATATATCCCTATATGCAGAGTCAATTTGGGGGGAAGGGATAGATTTAAATAAAATATGTTTGATGGAGAAACCCTGAGCTTAATTGGGCAATTTCATTCAGTTTTTAATTTAGACAACTACCCTGATAAGTTGCCTAAATTTCTGTTAACTCCAGATTTCTGTTCTGTTAACTACAAATAAGATGTCATCTTGATTTTTAAGGCTACATGTTAAGTAAAGATGTGTCTGACACTGACCTTGTTGTCCATTTCTATCTGACTCCTCTGCATTTCTATCTCAGATATTGAAAGGAATCTGAATTGTGTTTTATATTTATACCTCTTTCTCAACAACTTCCTTTAAATAAATCTAGAAGATGTACCCTAAGTAACTTGAGTACTCCCTTCTCATTTGGATTACTGCAATATCATCCAAACAGACTTTCTATAATTATTTATCGAACACACTCTTTTTATGTAACATTTATGTGCCATGACCATTGATAAATACTAGGAATAGAAAAATAGATAAACAGTTTCTTTCCTTAAGAAGTCTACAGTCTAATGGAAAAGACAGATCTGGGCCTAGTGAGAAGCAAATGCATTATGAGGACATAGTAACTACATCCCTCTGTGTCCCAGCTTTCACATCATTACCAGGTGAAAGATATTTCTAAAGTGTAAACTCAGCTATGTCATCAGTCTCTCTCATTAAATTATCTTACTGGCCTCCTACTACCTTTAAGACAATATCTATTAGTATAACATAGGAGCCTCTTAATGTTCTGGTCTCTGCCTGCAATTTAGCATCATCTCCTGCATTTCTCCATGTATTCAGTGGTTCTGCCATACTCCATGCTTTTACATATAACATTCCTATGACTTACTTTTATCCTTGAGTGCAAATCTTCATCCAAAAAGTCTTCTTTCACCAATCTGATTTAGATATCCTTTTGACAGCAGATAATTGTAAGCATACTTTAGCATAGCACTTATCATAGTATGTAAGGTATTACAATTGAGTCTGGTAGAGATATGAACTATAACCAATTTGTCCACAGTAAAGCACAGTGACTAGTGGCAACTATGTTAATGAATATAATACCATTTAAGAAAATAGTAAAAGACATAAGCTTTCATCTACTTTGTGATCTTTTGGTATTTATATTTTATCCCTTTATGCATTATCACAAGTTAAATTTATAAAATTTATAAAATTAGTATGTAGTTTAAGTACTAATTTTAGTAAAAATGTAATTACTTAAGCACAAGGGCATTTAATTAGGATAATTTCATATGAATGAAGAATAATGAGAAGTATAAAGATGTGTAAAGAAAAAATAGTTTTAAAGAAAATATTTCTCATGATTTTCTATTAAATATGACCCCTGGAACACCCACATAAGAAAGAAGGAAAAGGAGCAACTTTTAGCACATTAATATTTGGGTGGTTAGAAGGCAAGAGAGGATATGTGTGCATGGGCTTTTTGCCAAAGTTGAAGGATGATACAAAATAGAAATAGGATTGTGTGGGAAAGTTTGATTTACTACTTAACTAGAAAATCCATAAAGGTAATTTGTGACAGTCAAGATGGTTGACGAGGTAAATGCTGTGCTTGCCTCCTCTCACAACCACATCAAAATTACAACTAAACTACAAAATAGCCATCATTGGGAGCTTCCTGAAGTCTGGCTGAATAGAAGTCTTACAGCTGGGGACAAACAGAAGAGGCCACCTTGAGACTGGTAGGAGGAGCAAAGACATGAACTAGGCAGGTCCCGCAACTACATGTAGCGGTTAAGAATTGGGAGGGATATCTCATTGCAGAGGTCACCCCTGAGGAGTGAGGGGTCCCGGCCCCACACTGGGCTCCCCAGCCCAAAGTTCCAGTGCTAGGAAGAGAAATCCCCAGTTCTGGCTGTGAGAACCAGCGGAAGTTGTTGTAGAGTGTGACGGAGGGCTGAGGTAGCTGCAGACATTCCTCTTAAGGGGCT